AGTTAAGGAAAATAAAAGACAGTATGCTTTTGTCATATTCTGAACACAGCATAGAATTCATATACCAAAAACAAAATAAAAATATTTTAAAACTTCATTTCCAATAAGTTCATAGATTTTGAGCAGGGTTAGAGGCAAACTTTGGACCATGAACATTTCTTTAATGTTGGAACAAATAGGTTTGTCTGTAACTATATCACTTATTTCACAGTATCCATGCTTTCTTTAAAAAAAATCATTTTGCAAAACTGAATGACAGATTCAATCGTTGTTTACTCCCTCCTCTGAATTTTGTGAGGTTTGCCACTTTGATTGGTTTTTAATTGACATTAATTGTCATTTCAGCCATCTCCCTACTCCCTGTTTTAACACTGCTCACAGTCAATTCCTTTAAACCTATTCCAAATGTGGGAGTTTACTTTGCCTTTCTGGATCTTTTGACTTCTTTGTTCCTCTACACTCCCACATCTGATGCCAATTTGAAATGCTCCAAGATTGCTTTGTTGCTGTTTTCCATAAAAGTCGAAAATCTGATGCTAACATTTTCTTGGCATTTTGTGATGCCAATTACATTTTTAATTTCAGGGAAAAAGAGATGTAATACTTTAATATATGTAAGTATTGTTTATAATAATGATGAACAGTGTGCAGCAAAAATTTTGAAAACTGTAAAAATGCTGAAATTAAAGTGGTGAGTCTAATAGATTCATTTTTCGTGAAATCCTATGCTGAATAATTCACTATAGTTCTAAGAATATTCAGTGTTTTATCAAATAAATATTTGCCATTATATATAATATAAAAGTCTTAGTCTTCTATTTAAAGGGAAATAGAATCTTAGTATTCTTGTATAACGTAAATAGCTGCATCTACATGAGTTTTAAAGAAGGAAGTGTGGATCCTGGAAGAAAATTACATGTGTTCAACAACTCTGATGTTTAAGCCTTTTTATAGCATTCTCATTTACACATATAATTGTCTCATTCAGAGCATCATTAAATCCATGAGTAGAATGCTCTCTTGAAAGATTCCATTTTAGGATTGAAATATTTCATTTCTGTGACCTTCGTGAGTTTAATTTTAGCATACATCAGTAACATCCATATGCAACTTCATTGTAGAGACTATGTGAGGTGCTTAAGGGGTTAATAAGAAGTTGCAAATCTTCTCTCTTTGAAGATAAAGAAGCTTAATAATCTCTTTCAAAAATATTTTTGCACATTCATAGAGTTTCTTTAAAAAGCACTCTGGAAATGACCGTAAGAAAGAGCTCTGTAAGGGAGTCAGGGTGAACATTTACATGATATTCCGTGAAAAAGAACAGTTAAAAGTGTAATAAATACTTATGATATTTCCATATTTCAATTTAAGAAATATAAAGAATAATGCTACTATCACTTCAATGTAAGCATATTAATCAGAGATAATTCATCAACACAAATTTTAAAAATGACTTAGGGTTCCAAATCAAATAATAGATAGGAGTAAAGAAGACCAAAGTAATGCCATAGTGACTGGCCTTATCTTTAAGTTGTTGTCTTTGTATTCCAATATTATCTGAAATTTATCGATTAACATTGGTGTTTATTGTACAAAAGAACAATACAGAACAAATCATGGAATGACTTGTGTATAAAGATATTTTTGTCATATGAGTGAAAAAGTGCACAGTGTAATTTCTTATATTTTATAGTCATGTTAAAGTAATGTGAATTGAGCTTATATATGCAATGCATATGAGACATGGGAAGCATCAAGTGAGTGTCACAGGAATGAAAAAAACGCCAGGAAGTCTGTCAGTTGTAGTTTTCCTTTCTTTAGTAAAGCAGTGACATGCTAATTGAAAGGCACAAATACATTTTAATTATTTTAAAAAATCATAAACTAAAGTTATGGTTACAGAGTTATGATTACCTGTTGTCACTCAAATAAATATTTCAAAAAATAATTCTATTTACATAAATGTTTAATTCAAAGGCTTAGATTCGTGTGAAGATTACTGGAAAAATAGCCTTTGTAAACTAATCTTATATGCATTAATATTAAAAATAAGCAAGACATAAGAAACATTGGTTTAATGTTAGATGCTAGTGCTATGAGATTGGTGATATGTCATATCCCCAAAATAATAAATAAATATGTAGAAATTAGGATTATTAATTAACTTCCCTTAAAAGTCATTATCTTGTGGACACATTGATTCATGCCAATTTTCTAACAAAATGTGTGTGAAAAATTCAGATTTTCATGTCCTATTGCAGGCTGTTGATAATGGTATTAGATTGTCATTATCTGTTTGCATATAATGTATCAAGATATATATCTATGCTTTAATTGATTTGGGCATCTTTAAAATGTATTCAGGTTATCTCAATACTATTTACATTCAGTTATGATTTTGCATCCAGTGTGAATTCTTATTCCGTTAAGATAGCATTCATAAAATTTTATGGATGTGTTTGTTCTAGAGTCAGAATGAAGAACCAGACACAGAATATTTCATTCCTTTTCATATTTCTCAGTTTACTACAAGCCACGTATAATTTGAAAGCTATTACATATAGTATTTTGGAGCATTCCACTGAAACTGCTAATAACAAGTTTACCACTTAATGTCTTTCTTGTGCATGGCATGGATTTCCAGAATCATAGATAAAGAATGTTCAGACAACTGAAACAATGCACTTGAAACAGTCTGTCCACAATTAATTTCCAGATTGTCTATGAATTTCGTATCATTCTTCCATATGAGTGGCAAGAATCATATGTATCAAAGAATTGAAGTCAATCTCTTTACAAGGGTAGTACGAAGAAATGAGAGGAACAAAACTTTCAAATTGGGAAAACAAAGAATAGTTTGCTCTTTATTATGATATTTCTGTTCCTGGACTATAACACAAATACAACAATAGTAAACATGCTAAATCAGTTTCTCAATCACCCTAACTCTTTCATTAGTGTAAAACCAATGGCCCTATCAGAAAATAATAATAACAATGTTCATGGCTATTGCTTCAAAGACACTTTACTAATATCAATAACTTTGCACAAACGAATTCAAGTATTTGGCACCAAACCTACCAAACATAATATAACATATTAAAATAAAGCCAAACAAATGGCCAGACAAGTATAAACGAATGAGCAAGTCAAATCTTTAAAACCATTTGAATAATCAAGTTAAGGTCAAACTGGTTTGTTTGTTTACTTTAGACACAATTTAAATGCCTACATGGGCACAAGATATCTGTTCTTTTTATTCAGAACATGCCAGAAAAGCTAAAACGGACTTCTGATTCACCACCCTACAGTGTTTGGCAACCACACTATGGAAATTTGATCGCCTGAACATACAGGTGGACATATTCTATCTCCCTGGCAACTAGAAAAGATATGGAAAGTATAAAACTTTCTAGTTGTAACTCCTTGATTGATATTTAAAGCACTCTGTAAGTAAAGACATCCATGAGTATTTTTATCATTACAATTTAATGTTCATCAAATTGTATTTAAAGAGACACTAACTATCAAATCAGATTCCTCTGCCCTGTTGGATCTCGTGCAATGCTCTGTTGTAATATATTCCCCAGCCGGTCAATATTTGAGCTGTGATACCACCCAAAACAACAAAGGATATGAATGTGATGAGACCTAAAGAAACCTTTGATCCTCTAAGAAACAATATGCTCCCAAGTGCTATGTATGCTTATAATCATAAACACACATTTTACCTTAATAAAAGTTAAATTGTATTTCAACCTCTTGCTCTGGGAGCTTGCATAGCTTGGAAGTTAATAAATATTTTATTATCCAATAGGCCCTATCAAGTGATATTAGAAAGTCTGTTGAATAATTAAGGAATTTCTTCAAAGATATTTATCAAAGTCTTACAGTGATTCTAGCTACAGCATCCAGAATAAAAATATAAAGTGATAACTCAATGATCTACCATTGAAAATTTTATGGCACATTTAAGGATCAACTAATTTTACCTCAACTTTCACCAATTATGTTTGAATTTAAACTATCCCAACACATTTAATTATGGAACTGTGACATTGGGCAAATTTGTTTGCAAATAATTATAAAAATTATGACCCAAAAAACATGTCTGAGGATGTGGTAAATGTTATTTGAACATGAAGGATTTGTTTTTTGACAAATTACTTTAAAATAGAACAGTCACATATTCATAAATATAGTGAAATAATATTTATATTGTTTCCCACCTTAATTTACTTTATTTGAAGCTGAGGGCAGAACTCTGTAGCATCTCACTTGCAATTCATTTATTTTGTGAATATGGCCAATACAAACAGATATTTAGGGAATCTTTACATACTGATTTTACATACTACAAATCATTCATGTAGGTGATGACTTTGATCTGGCACTTCAGTCTATCAAAAAGACATGTTGAAATGCATGGTTATCATAACTAGAAAAGTTCTCAATAGTTTCTCTTGATTGTTTTTAATCTCTGCTAAATATAATGCTCCTTCAAGCACAGGTTCCTTGAAATACCCTGGATAAGAAGTACAACCTTCAATAAGTGCCTTTGCCCTAACCTGAAGGCCATTAATAATCTATGTGTTCAAGATGGGATTCATAAGCATGCAGGGCTTTTGTAAACATTTTGCCCACAAAGCTTTTGTTTTGCACTGTTTTCCGTTAAACCTCTACTTGTCAGAGACTTTGACAAATATTCGTACTCAATATATGATACAGTTATAGAGCACTTTAGAAATTTTCTAAGTTGCAGCACAATCAAATTGATACCCAAAAGTGGTGCCAGTTAAGTCTCTAAGTTGAAACTCTTAACAAAAGAAACAACCACAACAACAAAGCAAATGAACCATGGTAGGAGGATTTTGATGATACGTTTATGTGTACAGGCTATTCCAAGCTAGAAGTTTCCCAAGAAATTAAGGTCAGTGGAATAGTTTTGGTCATACTGTCACATCAATCCAAATGTTCTCAAACAGCTAGTAAAGTTGTTATTACGCTTTGCTGTCATCTTCTTTTGATTGGATGATATCATTTGAAACTTTAATTTCTATAGTTTCTGGATTTAGAACTTCTTTTCCATTTTCTTCTTTTAAAGGCAATTTTCTGTAGGAAAATAAATAATAAGCCTCATTTAAGAAGTCATTTTAGAGAAAGATTAATATGTTAATTATTGTAGGTAAATATAAAATAATTATGGGATAATAAAATGTGTTAAATTAATGCCATGTTTACAGAAAAATAATGTAAAAATTAATAAAGCAATTATCACCATCGACAGTAAAATTTAGACAAAATACAAAAATACCTTGGACTTGATAACTGGATGTGAATAACAGAGTTGTTTTACAAAGAAAATATCAAAAACCATATTTTTATTTAAAGTATCATTTCCATTTGGTGAAGATATCTAGAAAATTGCTTTTTGTCCTAGCAAATCTTATGTCTATATATATATGTATATGTGTGTATATATACATGTATATCAATAAGATATACATATATATCAGAGAGAGGTTCTTATTGATAAAATCAAAAAGCTAGGTGCATCAGAAATATTTTTGTACCCTGATATACATAAATATTTTCCACATCATTCATCAATATATTTCAGTGTTTTCCCATTTTTTGTATATTACTAATATCTGTTTTCTTTGGTCTATCTTCACCATGTTTCTTGTTGATTTTATATCACTTTTGAACATTTTTCAGCAATGTTTTCAAGCGTTACCAATGAAGACCTACTAATCATCATTATAAATACTAAGAAATCTTCGCAATTCTTAAAACAACACCAATACATCCTTATTTCTAGTTTTTAGTGTAGCTTATAATCATATGTCAAATACAGGTTTTTCAGAGGCAAATTTCTCTACCTTAACAAAATATGCTTTTTGTTTGTTCTGCAACTTGAGAGCATTAACATAAAAATAGCATTTCAGTTCTCCTCTATGCCTTTAACCTCATATTTTTTGTGAAAGCAAGGTTACTATATGCCAGTTCTGACATGGGTTATGGAGGCCACTAGTTTAGAATCAGGCGTGCTGGGCATATTTGAAAACACAACCCCCATGTATAACTTTATCTTACTTGTTAATCAAAGCACTCCCTTTGCCAGGTTGCATTTGTTTCATTCAATAGGAAAGATGGCATGACAATTTGACATAGAGCTCCACATGGGACTTGTGGAGTTACTACAAAATTCTCTCACCACACTTGAAGAGCAAAAGTGATGACTAAATTTATTAAATGTGATGATTGAATTATTAATAAATCTCCATTTTTTCAATGAAAATAAACTTCATTTTGAAAGTTTCATTTCCATAAAGAGTAGGGTTAGTGTTGAAATATTCAGCTCTTCTATCTGGTCTTTTCCCATAAAATAATAAATAGGTGATTTAAGAGTAGAGTTAATTTAATATTGACACAAAGTTTTTGATGGATTTTTGGGAGGTACAACTTTTTGTGGGAAAAAGCGTGATTATTATCATGTATTTTAAATGTATAATTAAAGCAATGAATAAATACTTAGTGTACAAATACTTCTTAAAATGAGTACATAAAAGTACATACTCAGGTTCTGTAAGTGGTGTGGTTTCATTAGGTTCATTTACTGGACTCCCATCTTCATGATTAGTAATTCTTTCATCTTCTGTTCTCATCTCTACTATTGGTTCTTTGGACCCATCTTTCCTAGAAAAATAGAGAAAAACATTATGTATGCAATCCAGAGACATTATTGATTGCAGTTTAAAATGCCTGTTCCTTCTTCACTCCAACAAATTCAATATAATCAAACTGAAAGTATCACTAAGAAATCCTATACCAAAATTATATTACAATGTATTTTCAATCAGAAAGAGACATAAAGGAAGAAAACTCAATTTACCTAGAATTAATTTTCTCAACAAAATTGTATTAATCATTGTATTTTATATTTTATTATATGGTTTTATTTTGAAATAAATGAAACACCCCTTGTGAAGGGCATTGCATGAAAATTTTTTATTTCTAACTATATTCAAAAACATTTCACAAAATATACCTAATGAAATTTAGTATTATCCAATAGCATTTGAAATCTACCCTCAGAAACATAAATATATTTTAAATTTTAAAATATAAATCTTATATATATTGTTTTAAATATCTCTATCAATTTATATGAACTATTTTAACTAAAATGTGATAAAATTAAAATATGTTCAGATTTTAAGAAAATAGTTTCAAAGATCATTGTCACAAATATGCATGAATCTTCATTATTAAGCAATGTTTTCCAAAATTGGCAGATAAATGAGATGTAGATGGTTTTCACAAATTACAGACTGATTAGCATCACATAAATTTCTGCCAAATTCCAGAACTGATAATTAAACAGAAAATGATGACAAATATATTGCCAATAAGTATAGTGGTTATAGATGTGTCCTCATATCAAATCAGCAAGCTTTTCTACCAACATATGCCATAAGTATTTCGTTTTCCCTGGCTTGACTAAAGGAATGTACACTATAGCAATATCAAGCAATTTCTGTAGAATTGTGCCTGGCACATATGAGGCATTGAATCAACGTTAACTACCATCAACAGCTCAGGAGGTCAAGGGAGATTAATGTTAGTAAATACACAACTAAAATCTTTAACTAGGATAACAATTTAAAAATGAAAATAACTCACTACACACTTAGAAATGTGTTGTAAAGTCATCAATTATGGGCCATTGTCAGCGTGCATCAAGCTAATTTTCTGCCTAGGATGCCATCATGCCATACGGACATATATTCGAGTCCAGCTGTTCTGCTTCCCATCCAGCTGCCTGTTACTGGCACGGGAAAGCAGAAGATTTCTTTGGGCCCCGCACCCAGTCACATGGGTGACAAAGAGCAAACTTCTGGCTGCTAAACTTGGACTGACCCTGCTTTGTCTGTTGTGGTCATTTGGAGAGTGAGGTAGCCAATGGAAGTCTCTCTCTCTCTGTGACTCTTTTAATTAAAATTATTATTTTCAAAAATTTCATCAATTCTTAAGAGTGAAAATGCTCATCTATTGGAAGACATTGTGAACAAAATCTAAATTTTGTCAGCTATTGCAGAGAATGCTTGCAACAATACAATATCAAATGATAAAGCAATACATGTTCCAAGTAAAAGGTAAAATGAACTATAAGCGGTTGAAGGGTATGAACAAGCAATTCCAGAAACATATGCGTTACAAGTCTAAAGAAACACAGACTCAATCTGTGTCAAAACAAAATGCAAATCTTAAGTAAATTCAAAATTATTTCCACTTGTGCCACAGATATTTATTTATGTTATTAACTTGAAAAGCAAAGACACAGTGACACCAAGGCGATGCAGTGCTTTTTCCATCAACTAGCTCATTCTCCCAGTGTTTGTGACAGCCAGCGCTCGGCCATGATGAGCCCAAGTGGTCAGAACTTGTCCCTAGTCCCCAGGTAGGTTCACAAAGACCCAAATACTTAAGCAATTATTTGCAGATTTCCATGTGCATTACTGGCAATCTGAAATCAAAATACAATCTGGAACCAAGTTACTGCAATATAGAATTTGTCTCAATTTCATTTTGAGTAGTGTAGCAAAAAAAACATCCTTAAACTAATAATATGTAATAATGCAAACACTGGGGAGGAATGTGTAGCCTCTTATGTTATTGGAAGTGTAATTTAGAATAGATTTGGTGTACGATTTAATAGTATTTGTAAGTTTTGGTGTCCCATCTCAGAGTTTAAATCGACATGAAAAGATGTCCAAAATACTACTCATTATTTGAAAAAAAAAAATTGCAATTTTTATTTAAGCAGTAAGAGAAACTGACTTATAAGAATATCAATTAGTGTTTGTAAAATATTAATAAAGCTGTGATTTATGTGCTAGAATGGAACATGATTGAAATGGCATTGCTATAGGAAAAAATATAACAGTTTATAAATACATAATGTTAGATGGTATATATGATTTACTTATATTGATATAGATGTAATAGATACCATGTATAGATATCATATACATACATATATGTCTGTGTCTGTATGGTAAGAACTAATGTCTTTTGAAACTATATACTTTATGAAAATCATCTGGAACCAAACACTTTAAAATGTTAATATGCAAGCATAGTAGACAGGTAAATGTTGAAGTCTTTGACTTATATATTCTGTGGTTCACTGTTCAACTTTCTAAGTAAAATAATGCACATATACGCATATACAATATATAATAGCATTTTTATAACTAGTCACAGGAACTAATGCTGTCTCGTCATATCAGAGCAGGAGAAATAGTGTTGTTAGTGATTACTGGCTCCGCGCAGTGGCCTAGCAGCTGAATTTCTCTCCTTGAACGCGCCAGAATGCCATATGGGTACAGGTTCTAATCCTGATGGCCCTACTTCTCATCCCGCTCCCTGCTTAGGGCCTGGGAAAGCAGTTGAGGACGGTCCAAAGCTTTGGGACCCTGCATCCATGTGGGAGACCCAAAGGAAGCTCCTGCTTCTGGCTTCAGATCAGTGCAGCACCGGCCGTTGCGGCCACTTGGGGAGTGAATCATCGGACAGAAAATCTTCTCTGCCTGTCCTCCTCTCTGTACATCTTACTTTGCAATAAAATAAAAATAAATCTTAAAAAAAAATAGAGGCAGAAAAATGTTACTGCATAGGTTTAAAGTATTGATTTGTTCTCCTATTCCTTTTAGAATACAGAAATATTAAAAGCTTTACTTAGTACAGCTTAACTGAAAAGAATTTGGACTTAAATAAAATGGATGGAAATCCCTTCCAAAATGTCAAAATAAATAAATAAATAAAATTGTATTCTATGTGAACTTTTCATTTTGCCTTTTATTAATTAGTTATTATAAGTGTTTAAGTTTTCTCCAAAAATGTTTGTGACCTTTTCTTTTTAATCCTTTTTAATAATACCTAAATGGTATTCCATTATCTGGATGTGACAAAGTCAATATATTCCATCTGCAGAATACCAAATTTTGTAAATTATGACTAAAATGTCTGTAAACATCAGTATGCAGGCTTTGACTCGAGGGAATTTAATATATAGGTGACTAAATAATTTGACAATGTCATATTTTTGCCAGTCTCTCTTTCTGCCTCACATCCATCATGTTCATTTGCCCTTGAACACATTCAAGCTTCTCATTTTAGTTTCTTTATATTATATAAAACACATGCCTAGTATATCCTTCCTCTGATTGTTCCACTATGACTTCTTACTCACTTTCAGTTAAAGGCAAGATTTAAAGCAGAAAGGTAGCTATTAGGCTATGTAAGAAGGGGTAAAGAAAATCAGCTTTTTAGAAGTTAATTGTAAGTGAAATGGAATGAGAAAACATGTGCTGCCTCTGATTCATCTTACTTAGCCCAAGGTTTCCTTATTTATGGTTTATCAAAAGAGTAGGCACTGATAGAAAGTCCTGAAAAAGATTTCCATAACTGCACTGAAGGAGTTATTATCTTCTCTGTTAGATAAAGGCCTTGGAGACTAGCATTCCCTGAGGGGAGTTAGTTTAAGGGAATCTGATTGCTAAAGTAATCGATCTTGTGCTATAATCCTGTTAGATGGGTTGCAATTTCCTCCCTGGAGGCAGCTCTGGGGAATCTCATCTGCCCTTTACCAAAGAAGCTATTGAGAAGCTCTGGGAAGAAAGTCTTTTGTTGAGCAGTATTCCGGAGAGGGTGCAGATGGACACAATGGACAGGGGCCCACATTTATGTCCATAAAAACTCAGTCTGAATGCAAATCAATCTCTAAATCATTTTTAGAGAAGCCCACCTGGTCTCTCAGGTCTTTTATTGTTCCCTTTTTTCAATACATTGTTTCAAGTTTGCCTTCTGCTTATTCATTGACCCCATACTATTTTGTCCTTGCAGCACAGACATGGTTGTTTAAAGTAGTGGTAGCACAAGCAGATTCTACTGACTCAGCATAGAATAGCTTATGCTGTTCACCTATCTTCTTACTGCGTAGCACTTTGGGACTTTATTTTCACATTTAGTAGCTGCTGTCATATTAGAAGACAAGCTCCATGTGAACAACATTATTATGTTCACTGTATCTAGAGGAGTGATTGTTACCCGGTACTTTCTGAAAGTTTCCATGAACGCGAATAAGGAACAGCTAAGGTGTATAAATATGGTGCATATATACAATATACATGAAGTCAGGGGTCCAGAGGCCAGGATTCGGGCTCATTCATTCTACCCTGTTCTGACATTCTTTCCATAGCTGCTTATACACAGACTGAAAATGATATCCTAAATGAGATAAAGTTTTACATCAGCAGTAATTGAGTGCAATGTGAGGAATGAGACAAGGCTTTAAAAAAAATATAACTCAAAAGCAATATTTGGGAGAGAAAACATTTAAGTTATTCTCTGAAACAGGAAGTGATTAGTCAGTGGTTGATAGTCCTAATATGACTCAATGACAATATGCAGAATGGCTAAAGCACTGAAAATGCGAAGTAAACATAATACAGTGCAATTGTGGTGAGGGAATACAAGTATAGGATAAGTGGAGTAAGATGGAACAAACAGGAGAAGTTAAAATGTTAGTCAATTTGTTGATACAGAATAGATTTTGAGCTATCTGCATTTGAACTGGAACTGAAATATAGTTTGAAATGCACTTACAAAAGTCAATATATGGAACGAGGTAA